TTTTTTTATTTTTTCTTATATATTGTTCTTGTTACTCCATCATTACTTGTTCCTATACATATTACAGTATTGGATATAGAATATTCAAATATACTTTGTACTAGTGCTATGGTCCCCAACCCCTGGGCTGTGGACTGGTACCGGTCTGTGGCCTGTTGGGAACCAGGCCGCACAGCAGGAGGTAGGGGGCAGGCAAGTGAGGGAAGCTTCATCTGTATTCACAGCCGCTCCCCATCGCTTGCGTCACCGCCTGAGCTCTGACTCCTGTCAGATCAGCATTAGATTCTGCATTATGGTGAGTTGTATAATTATTTCATTATATATTACAATGTAATAATAATAGAAATAAAACACACAATAAATGTAATGTGCTTGAGTCATCCCGAAACTATCCCATCACTCCCCCACCCCCACCCCCTGTCCCCCTTCACTCCCCGAACTACAATTTTTCCATGGAAAAATTCTTTTCCATGAAGCTGGTTCCTGGACCACTGTACTAGCAATTGTAGTGCTGTGGGAGGTTATAAAGGAAGGTTAGTAGCCTCAGAGATGAGGAAGCAGGAGAGAATTTCATACTGAGTATAGCTTGTTGTGGTGCTGATTTCTTGGCCTTTAACTGGGAATAGGAACTGGTGAATGTCCAAGCTTAATATTGTACTTCTTCTCTTAGGATGTCCAGGCAGAACCTGCCTCTTTTTTTTTTTTTTGAGAAGAGTCTCACTTTGTTGCTCAGGCTAGAGTGAGTGCCATGGCATCAGCTTAGCTCACAGCAACCTCAATCTCCTGGGCTCAGGTGATCCTACTGCCTCAGCCTCCCAAGTAGCTGGGACTACAGGCATGCTCCACCACACTCTGCTAATTTTTTGTATATATTTTTAGTTGGTCAATTAGTTTCTGTCTATTTTTAGTAGAGACGGGATCTCGCTCTTGCTCAGGTTGGTTTCGAACTCCTGAACTCGAACGATCTGCCTGCCTCGGCCTCCCAGAGAGCTAGGATTACAGGCGTGAGCCACCGTGCCGGCTATCCTGTCCCTTTCTTACTGAGACTAGACAAGCAGTCTGTATTTCTACTACAGATATGATTTGATTGTCATGTAATCTTTACAGATGAGTATTCCTGATAATTATTGTAGTAAGAATGGTTCGGGTGGTGGCTTACGCCTGTAATCCTAGCACTCTGGGAGGCCAAGGGGGGAGGATTGCTTGAGCTCAGGAGTTTGAGACCTGCCTGAGCAAGAATGAGACCTTGTCTGTACAAAAAATAGAAAAAAAAAAATTAGCTGGGCGTGGTGACATGTGCCTATAATGCCTCCTCCTGCCCCCAGAAAAGGTTCAAGATCAACTGTTCTCAAACCCTGATTAGAATTTTAGGTTGGCATCTTCTCACAGTTAATTGACTTTATATAGCTGAGGTATATTTTGTAAATTTCTCATAGAGAAACTCACAAAACTTAGAAAAGATTTAACATAGAGGCAAGAATAAAGTGAGTGGAATATTAGACATTTAGTATTTTATTATACTCTAGTCATGTAAAAACTCATTCTGTAATTATAATTATAGGAGATTAAGGAACTGCCTCTACACAGTGACCCGTGATTTGTCTTGTCACTTTATATCCTATGGGGCAGTGATTGGGAATGTCTCATCTAAGATCTGTTTGAGGGAAGTTACTTGGGATGTGCTGGGCTATTTCATGTCTCACTAACTTATGGGAAATCAGAGGGATAGGATCTATTTTCATCCTTATATAAATTCTTTTTAAGTTGTAGTTGTGGGGATATATATGAATTTTTTATTGCCAGTAGGAGGAGGGGAAATCCCTTAGAGGCTTTGGATGCCAATTTAGATATGACTGCTTTTTTTTTTTAATTTTTTATTTTGAAATAATTATAGATTCACAGGAAGCTGTGAAAAAATGTACAGGGAGGTCCCACGCACTTTGTGTGTGTGTGTGTGTGTGTGTGTGGTTCTGTGCAGTTTTATCCCATGTATAGCTTCCTGTAATCATCACTACAATCAAGATACTGAACTGTTCCATCCACACAGGACTTCCTTGTGCTACCTGTCTATAGCCACACCTTCCCACTTTTCCCCGGCCACAGCCAACTTGTTCACCATGGCTATAGTTTTTGTTTAGAATGCTGTATAATTGGATTCATGTATGTAACCTTTTGAGATTGGATTTTTTTTTTTTTTTTTTGCTTTGCATAATTCTCCAGAGATGTATGTAGGTCACTGTGTGTCAAGTTTGCTGATACATCATGGTATAGATGTACCATAGTTTAACCATTGAAGGACATCTGGGTTGTTTCTAGTTTGGGGCCATCATGAATAAAATTGTTATAAACATTCATGTACTAGTTTTGGCATGAACATAGTTTTCATTTCTCTGGGATAAATGCCTAAGAGTGCAGTTGCTGGCTCATATGGTAGATGCATGCTTAGTTTTTTAAGAAACTGCTAAACTTTTCCAGAGTGGCTGTGTCATTGACTTCTTCCTGAAAATGTTTTGTAGGATAAGAGGTTTATTATATACTATGAAGTTATCTGTTAATTTTGGTAGCAATCTTGTTGCCATTTGGCCTGACTGGGGTGAGATGGCGTTTCCCTTTAGCCATTGACTTGGGTCATCAGTCATTTTGACGGTTTTGGCTCTCAAAAGGAAATTCCCTCAGCTTCCACAAAACCCACACAAACTGCCCAATGAACCACTCTTCTTCCCTATTATTTCTAGAGAACAGTTAGCCCCAAACCTGAGCCCTGAATCCTACCTTTAGAGAGCTTTTTTTCTACCTCTGTCTTTAGACCCACTCATCTTACTAGTTTCTACCTAAGCATTTAAAACATGCTCAATTCTCTCCCATCATGAAATTCCTTTTTATTTGGCATCATCCACTGCTACTCTATCTGGCCACTCTCTCCCAGCCACTCTTCTTGACTGTGCTATCTCTGTTCCACTGCCTTGTCCTCCCTTACTTCCCAATATATAGTACTGTACTCTAGCGTCTCTACCTGACAGTGCTGGAGTTTTTCTTGCTGATGTTACCAGCAATCTTCTCACTGCTCAGTCTAATGTAGGTGTTTCAGTGGTGTTCTTATTAACCTCTAAGTAGCATTTAGCACTCACTCTTGATCACTCTCTTTTTGTGGAAATATTTTTTTCTTGTCTGCTACCCCTTTGGCTTGCTGTTCCCAGTTGTTTTTTGCTCGTGTTTCCTCCTTTGTATATCCCTTAAATCTTGGGATTCCTCCAAGTTCTGCATAAGGCCGACTTTCTTATTCTGGGTGATCTCATCATTTTACTTGGCTGCCTCCCACATGTGTATCTGCATCTCAGACTTCTCTGCATCTCAAACTGCTTCCCTGAGCCCTGAGCTCCAGACCTGTATATTCATTTGCCTACTAGCTACATTTCCATCTAACTCTGGCCGACCCCCTCAATCACAGCACATTTAAAATGGAATTTATTCTCTCCCCAGCACCCTTGCCTATTAAAAAGAAAAAGTAAAAAACCTGATTCTTTCTTCATGAGGACCAGTATGTTAATACCACATGTACATCAGTGGGAGTGTTGTTAAAACCCATCTGCATTTAATTGAGTTGCCCGTTAACCAGAGTTAACATTGTCCATTCACCATGCTAAGCATCCTCCCACCACACCTGACACCCACAGCCTGTCATGGGCAGTAGGTGCCTCCTTAGCACTCCAGCACTCTCGCTTCTGTCATCAGTTGAGTGGTGGCATTCCCATAAGTGATTTATGCTAACTGCACTTTTCCAGTCAAACAATTAAATATTACACAAACGAAAATTGAGTGTGAAAAGGAATTGTTTCTATGGAAACTAAATCGAATGCTTTGGAAAGACTGAAAGATAAGTCACTGAAATATTATCTGCTGTGGAATTAAATAAGAGCAAGGCAACTATACAAGGCTAGTAAAACTAGACTGACTCTAAAAAGGTTATGCAGTCTGTTTCTAAAGTGTCCAGGATCTCACTCTACTTCAATCACAGCCACCTGGAAGTTGTAGATGATGTTGAAAATGATTAAGGCAGAAAGCACGATGTGGGATTCCAATCAGTAGACCCGTACTCAAAAGACCCATTTCAAAAGATTGATGAATAAATATGCCTTTTTCTTTTATGTTAAATAAAGTGTTTAAAGTACGTAATATGTATTATCTCATGTCCCACTTGATTTGTACTCATCCTGTCTGAGAGGAGCTTCTACTGTATCTCTCAGTGATTAGCTACTCTTCTTCATTACTACTGCCCTGGCCACTGTGTTTTCCCTGATTTCCTACATCACCTTCCCAGCTGGATGGCTGCCCCAGGTTTTCCCCTACCTGCATTTCCTTCTCCATATCATAGCCAGCAAGAACTACTAAAAGCGTAAACTGATCATGTCACTCCTGTAACTCTTAAAATCCAGATTCCTTAAACTAGTTAATGAGGACGTTTAGATCTGGCTTTAGCTTACCTCTCTGGCCTCATATGATAATTTTCATTCTGCGATTCCCATCCCTCAAACTCTACACTTTAGCCGTGTTGATTTGACTCACTTTCACAATTCAGTTGGGGTGGTAGTGGGATGTGTGTGTGTATGTGCTGTCTTACCTCTGGGCCTTTCTGTGTACTGCTTCTCTGCCGGGAACTTCTCTCCCTATCTTTCAACTCCAAAACTGACCCTGCTGTTCTTCAGATCTCAACTTTCCTTCCAGAAGCCTTTCCTGACCCCCAACTTGAGTGCCTCTCGTGTGTGCTTTTATAATAACACCCTGTATTTCCCCTGTTTTGGCATTTAGCACACAATAGTTAATTATCAGTTTACCTTGTTTCCTTCAAGGCAGCCAGACTGTAAATTCTGTGTAGATGGGGTTTATTCATTAATCTTGTTTGCCTAGTTTCCATGTTATAAACAGTTGAGTAAACAGATGCTGTCTGAATTATGTAGGTTCTTTAAAAAACACTTAAGTATAGTGTTTTGCTTCTTTTGTAGTTGCTGTCTCTGCTGGCCTTTATCTGTGAAGAAATTGTATCACAGTGTACTTTGTGTGGAGGACTTTACTTTTTTGAATTTGTAAGCTGCAGTGCCTTTCTTCTGAGTGTCCTTATGTTGGTGGTGTATTGCACTCCCGTTTATGGCAAAATTGATGGCAACAAAGTAAAATCATCGGTAAGTGTGAAAAAATGTAGTGCATAGCTATTTTGTAATCTTACATAGTTTTATTGTTCAAAGTAGCAATGCTTTCAAAACTCAGCAACACAAAAAGGACACTATCTATTGTTCCAACTCTCTGCCTTGAAGCAACTCAGTTTTTCCTGCCAAGGGGATGAGAGGGAAAGTGAGATTGGAATAAGAGTGACAAACACTGCCAATAATTCGCAATTATTGGTGGTTTAATTTAATTCACATTTGACTGTTAAAAAAAAAAAAACTAGGACTTTGTCCCTTTTGATTTCTCACATTTCGGAATGTCACTTATTGGTTTTACAGTTATTGATTGTGTGCCTAATACATGCCAAGCATTATACTAGGTACTGGAGATAGAGAAGTGAACTAATGTGAGATATTTCTGGAGCTTCTAAATAAGACAACAAATAAACTCTAGCTATATTTTGCTTTGATTTGATCATGAAAAGTTGTCTATAAATAAATTATGGATGCATTTGTTGAATTCATTGTTCAGAAATTTCCTTATGATAAAATTGTACTTGGGAGTCTAGATGCTTAACTTTCTAAAGACTTAGTCTGCTGACCCTATGTTTTTATTTGAGTGTGGTTTGGATTTGTGGGATGACAGATGAAATAATTAGCATAATTGTTTAAGTTAAAAAATTAAAGTTGATGCCAAACAGTTAAAAAATAACTTTGATTAAAAAAAAATAACTTTGAAAAACAAATGGAGTCTGAGAGTCTGAATCAAATCCCATCAAGCATTTGATGACAGCATACACACAGTTCTTGATGTGGCCATTGTGGGACATTTACTATATATATGCCTGGCACTGATGTAAGTACCCTCCATGGATTAACTCTAATCTTTAGAATCACTTTATGAAGAAGATAGTTTTATGATTCCCAATTTGCAGGTAAACAAATGGAGGCACAGAGAAGTGAAGTAACTAGTTGAAAGTTGCATAATTAGGAAGTGGTAGAGGTGGGAATTATGCTCACATGGTATGGTCTAGAACTCATGTTTATTGAGCACTGCATTATTCTGTCTCAAACTGATTGTCTTGTTTAAATATCTCCTTCAGTGTACTCTGAATATTAGGGAATAGAGTTTTATATTTGTATGTAGCAGATTTGAAATAATTAAAAAAATAAGAAATGGAGAAAGTACCACAGGAAGACATTTCTTTTAGAATCAAAGAGAAAATTTCTTAATTTTTTTATCAGTATTAAGTGAATGATTGACTATATAGGAATTCTATGTTGGATAGTTTTATTGATACTAGGTTTCGGGGAGGTTGTGTTTCAGAAAACTCAAAAAGTGTCAGACTTACAACACTTTGAAGTGGCTATCATTTTAGCAGTTTCCCCCTCTGAATTAAGTATGTATGTAAGTGACTGTTTTCAGTTAGCATATGAGAGCCTTATGAAGTAATGCCTGTGAGAGCACTTGGAAACCCATGAAGCATCTCAGCATTGTAAGCTGCATTATGATGAGATACAGTAGCTTTTATATAGTAGATAAGCTCATCATATAAGCTCATTTTGGATTACCCACTTGGAACACTTGAAGGCAATATATTATTCCAGGAAGCTTACATCTAAAAAATGCTATTGGCATATTTGTATTTAGTTAATGACGGGTGATTTTTTTTTATTCTCTCTTTTCCAAACTGCTTTCAGAGCACGGAAGTACTCTGAGATGCCAGGCTAGCATAGAATACTTTGTGAGGAAAGAAAAATGCTTTTTCTGCTGAAAGTAAGATGGAACTGTAATAAAATGCTTTGGCTTTGATAATTTTAATACATCCTAGAGAAAAAGAGGGCACCTTTTGGAGGACTGTTTTTATTAAAGATTATTTTGTAACATACTTTCTCAATATGCCCAATCCAAAGTATAGATACTGTTTCTTTACCAGAGTATTTACATATATTGAATGCCACAAAGTTAGAAGTTGGGGTATGTAAGTTTGGATTGTATCAAGAGAAAAAATTATTGAAGCTTTTAAAAATTAAACCGTTTGTTTCCATGAATCTAACCATACTGTATTCTTTATGTGTTTTATATATATGCATAGGATTTTTACATTACTTTGGGAACAGGATGTGTATTTTTGCTGGCATCCATCATTTTTGTTTCCACGCATGACAGGACCACAGCTGAATATGCTGCAATTGTAAGTACTTTGTATTTTTAACTCTGCTTATTTTTGTTTATTTAGAAATATGGAATTTGGAAAGTACTTGACAAGTTATACAACATGTTGTCTTTCAACGTATTTTTTAGTGTAATTTTGAATAGAAGACATAAAAGCAAATGAATATGATAGCCTTAAAAACCTGGAACCTATCTAGAATTTGAGTTTTGTTAACAAAAATCCATTTACTCCACATATAAATGTGTTACTGCTCATGGAAGTAGTAAAATTGACTTTATTATCTTACATTTCTCTACTTTTCAGTTGACAAAAGCATACCCACATGCCAGGTGCTGTTCCAGGTGTAGAAAATACACAGGAGAGCCTGGAGCATTGGCACACGCCTGCACTCCCAGCTACTGGGGAGGCTGAGGTGGGAGGATCACTTGAGCCCAGCAGTTTCAAGCTATAGTGGGCTGTGATTGCACCTATGAATAGCCACTGGCACTTCAGCCTGGGCAACACAGCAAGACCCCATCTCTGGTAAAAAAAAAAAAAAAGAAAAAAGAAAGAGAGAATACGTAGGAGAAATGACTCAAAGGTTGAGTCTAGTAAAGGAGATAGGTAAATAGATTGTAATGGAGTACGTCAAACCAACCAATAGAAGTTGGTCTAGATAGTTTCTAGGGGTAGTTCACCAAGACTTTCCAAGGAGTACTAAGAGGGGTAGTTTTTGAGTAAATCAGTTCCCAACTTTTTAATCTCCATATGTAGTGTATCTTAAAACTAGTATGTCTGAGAATTCATCTTGGTAGAAGAGTCTTGCCAGTTCTTTCCCATCTTCCCTTTCACAGTCACCACCTGTCCCACCCGCCACCCCCACCCCAAATAAGAAAAATGTGTTTGTCCCAAATCTTACTATGGTACATTGCCTTGAGTTGTAAAACAAAACAAAACAAAAAACCCTTGAGTACAACAAAGGGAAAATAAAGATTCAGTTTTTATCTGAAATCCTTGAGGACAGATTTTTTTCTTTTTTTTTTTTTTAAGAATTCAGAACATCTTGGATTTGGAAAGGTGCATTTACAATATTACACAATACCATTTGAGGGCCTGGGGCAGACCCTGTAATCCAACATATTTCTGAAGCGAAACATGAATATTTACAGTAAAAGGGATAAATGAAGACTATAAATAGTCTTACTGCATGTCAATTTTGAGTCAAATAAATCATGAAAACTTTGAGGTTTTTGTAGCTTTTTGGGTTTCAGAATTGCAAATCAAGATCGTGGACCTGGAGTGGTAAACTTGAATGCCTAACAACTGGATAACAAATCCTCTTGTAAATCAGGTGGTTTCCAATTAATACTTTGTTCTTAACAAAATTGAAGTTGTAATTAATAGAGTTGTCAGCTAATCGACCATTAAAACTACTTTTATGATAGAACAACTCAAAAGGAGTTCAGAGGCCGAGCGCGGTGGCTCATGCCTGTAATCCTAGCACTCTGGGAGGCCGAGGCGGGTGGATTGCTCGAGGTCTGGAGTTCAAAACCAGCCTGAGCAAGAGCGAGACCCTGTCTCCACTATAAATAGAAAGAAATTAATTGGCCAACTAATGTATATATATAAAATTAGCCAGGTATGGTGGCACATGCCTGTAGTCCCAGCTACTCGGGAGACTGAGGCAGGAGGATTGCTTGAGCCCAGGAGTTTGAGGTTGCTGTGAGCTAGGCTGATGCCACGGCACTCACTCTAGCGTGGGCAACAGAGTGAGACTCTGTCTCAAAAACAAAAAAGAATTAAAAAAAAAAAAAGAGTTCAGAGATTACATGGCTATAATATATCTACCTATTCATGTGACTACATTTTCTTAGCACTTACATGTGCTGAAAACAAAACATAGCAGTAACATCAATGCTGAACCTTGATTCATTCGAACCATAAGTAATATTTATCCATGGGTACATAAACCAGTTGAAGAGAAAAATCAAAGTTTTAATAAAGTCTTATGGTTAATTTCAGTTTATACACATATTTTTGTTACAGAGGAGTATGATACAGTGATCGATACAATAGGAATATAAAAATATATTATTATAAAATTCTGTAGTGGAAGTGAAATGAAGTTGAAGAAAAATTAGTTCTAGGGGGAAAAATTCCCACCTGTTAGAAAAAGAATTTATTTATATGTTTTAATTAGATGATGGTTTAGATTGTTACAGTATTTAGAATTCATTGGATATATTTATTTAATAGTGAATGATAGTTTAAAAGTCAGTATTTATTATATGCTGGAAATTACCCTTTGCAACTATTTAAATTATGAAAAGTTTTATAGACTTAAAAAAGTGAGGGAATTCACTTTAAAAAAAAATTTGGGAAGTATGTGAGCAAAAGAGCTGGAAAATCTCTTGTCTGGATTGTATAGTATAGAGGGCCCTGTATGGACTGGGGCTCTCTGAGATGGTGACAGCTTCACAGACAAAGTCTGCATCTGAAGGATTCAAAAAGTTTGCTAGGAAAATAAAGGGATAGATGCTATCAAGCCTGAGTAAAGACTCTGCAGGGGAGAAAGACTTTGGTTTTGCGGGTGAATTGATCATTAAATTTAGGCTGAATATGCTGGGGACATCCAGGTGAATTCATGAATTTGGAACTCAGTTTACTGTATGGTGAAATGAGGCAGAATGCATATTCTTTGGGGGAAGGGGGAGGGGAAGGGTAGGAAACTGGAACAGACTGTGACAGAATGTTAAAAGTCATGGAGGTGGAGGTCAGAGTTGGAAGAGACTTGAGCTATCACCTATATCAGTTTTCTTTTCTTCACACTTCTTTGGCCCCATTTTCTTTTGGGTTTTGCTACTGAAGTAGCTAAATTTGAAATATGGTCTTCTGTCTCTTGACAGAATTCTCAGAATGTTTGATCATATGTCAGAAGAGTAAATGAGGAAGTGATTTAAGGAAGAGGAAGTAGGTAGTGTTATGTCACTGTGTCATTACAATGTGACAATTAACTGGAAAATGTTAACCCAATAGTGTCTTCAAGATGAAATTTCTTTTTGTCCAGTTTCATCTAGGCTGAGTTGCCTACACTTATATTTCCGGTATCTCATCTGTGGGTCATTCTAATAATCCTGCGTTTTGTATCATTTTATAGGATTTAATTTTCATCTACTAATATTAGTTTTGTAGATTAGCATTCTGCACATACACATGCACATAGATTTGTATTTTGTGAGACTTTGACTAATAGCCATTATTCTGGAAGTTTTTCTTTTGTAACTTTCCATTTTTTGATGACTTTAAAACATTTTTTTACTATTAAAATTAAAAGTAGTGTGTATAAGGTAAAATTGATGAACATCTTGCTTTTATGAAGCACTCTCAGAGCCAAGTAGAACATGTGAGATTATATTCCAAAATTCCTCATAGAACCTTTCTCCCTTTTTCCTCAGGTGTTTGGATTTATAGCAAGTTTTCTGTTCCTGCTTGACTTTGTTGTTATGTTCATTGAAAGACGACAGGAATCCCAGAGGAGAAAACCTGAGAATACCCCTAGGACAGAACAACTCACTCAGCCACTTAATGCTTAAAGACCCTGGAAAGTGGTTGTTATGTAAGGTAGTGATTTTGTGTTGTGATGCCTGAGCCCTGGCAGAAGCTCTTGTAGCATTTGTGTAATTGTTTAAACCACTTCTTTTGGAGAACAAGAGGAAAGGCAGGAAGGCAGTTTTATCAATATTGTGTCAGTCACCACAAATCAGGCCACAGGGTTTAAAAAATGATTTTAAATTAAAAAAAAAGGGTAAAAAAAAAAACAAAAGGAAAATTGGGGGGGGGCCGGAAAAGGAAAAAAAATGGTTTTTTTTTAAATGACACAGGTCAACTGATGATAAATGATTTTGTCATTCTGTTATAGAGCATTCTGTTACTAGGCTTAGCTTCCAAATTATGCTTTATGGTTGTATAAACAGCATGATTTATTCATCATTTAGAAATTTTTATTTTTAAAATTAATTTGCTTAGCTATTGGTTTAATGATTAGATTATGTTCTGTTAATGAGATTTTAATGTACATTTAAGACACCAATATTTTAAATGTTGGTCTAGGTGTTTTTCTTTAATATGTAATACCTGGCTTTACTGTATCTTATTCAGCCTTGAAATTATATTGTGATGGTTTAGGATAATTATTAACTCTTTTGGATGCTTTTGTATAGCCTAATATAAAATGTATGGAGGATGTTGGTATTGAATGTGTATAAAAGCAGCAATATCAGCAACCTCATGTTTATACTGTACTTTGGTTATTGATGTAAAGTAAAAGAGAAAAAGAATTATTATGTAACACCACACATAAAAAAAATTGAAGAAACTAATATCACTCCTAAGGACCAAAGATAATATCAGACAGATATGGAGCCATGTGCAGCTTCATCATCTGGCAGAAGTGGACCCCTGGCTCTGGGTCTTTCTTGTTGTCACTTGTCTTTAGGTGATCCAGAGTCTTGGGTCCTTTTAATTGTGAAGGGTGTGTAGCAGGATCTTTAGGGTTCTGTTTCCACATAGGCGCTGCTCTAGTTTCTCTTTGGAAGAGACTGTCTTAAGAAAATGAATATCCAGAGAACCCTGCCCAGATTAATACTGTTGGTGGTATAAGGGATTAATCAGACCATTCTCAAGAGTTACTTTATAAGCAGTTCTGATAATTTGGAAGAATAGTCTGTTGCTGGCAGCTGTCTTAGAGCCAGACAGGTATAGCACTTGAAATAGCACCTTTCTGTCCAAGTGGTTCACAGACCAGACCTTTATTTCCCTTCTGCTAGAGTTTTGACCTGAGTCTCTAGTGTTAAGGTGATAAACCCGTATGTCAGGTCCTTTTGTACTTTGGTGGAAGTCTCCTGGGATAGGTTTTCTATCTGAAACAGTGGAATCATGTTTCCAGTGATACAGTTTAATGACCCCATCATTTTTAGTTTCTCATCTGCCATTTATGTGCTGTAAATGGGTTTCAGTTGCATGAACATGGCTAATGTGGTTCTCAGGAATTGGTCAGTATGGCCAGACATAGCTTCTGCTCTGTCTCACTGACGAGTACCTTACCTATTTATATCAGAGTTTAGATGCTAGTGTTAGTGATGATGTCACCACTATCCATTCGGGAGATAATGAAACCAATCATGAATGCTATTTTTATTGGGTGTGTCATCTAAGAGAGGAGAAGTAGCAGGGTCTTGGGTTTAAGAATAAAGACTGATTCAGACAACCAGTATATGGTAAGCAGATTGTAGATTTTCATATGAGACTGTACCATTGTCATTTTAAGTTCATCTGTACCCATCTAGAATTCATAGCAAATCATCTGGGCTACCTCAGAGTCACCACCCAGGCATCGGGTGTAATCAAGATTGAGTGACATATTCTTAGCTGGCCTCACATGTGTAGCATGTTGGCATTGAGATTCAGCTCTGCTTGTTCTCAGATTTCACCTCCATTTGTTTCATTGGTGCAGAAATGGGTCTCTTCGTTGGCCACTTAATTGTTGCCTGTTCAAAAAGATACATTCACTGGTATTTTGGGTCACTCTTGGAACCTTCCTTCACATTGTTTTTTATGAAACCCATGAATGGTTTAACCTCTCTCTTCTATTATAGAATGAAATAAGAGAGTAAAAAGACCATTGTAGTGAATAAGTTCAAGGAGAACTTGGGACCAGAAATCACTATTACCTACAGAAAAGGGCAAACTCAATAAACTCGAACTTAAAATAATTTTTTATTAACAGCTATGGTAAATTTAATTTGTTACATTTTATACAAATAATGTGTTTAGAATGGTTCTTAATTATAAGGGAAATGCATTTACAGTACAAAAATTTTATAATTACTATACTTAAATTATGTTCTGTTAGAGGACCAGGAAATGTATTTTTACATTGTTTATAGCCATTTTTCTATTTGTCAGTTTAAATCCTGTGGGCCTTTTTGATCTTTCTTGATGTCAAATTTTGTAGTCTTCTTTTTAAATAAATCCATTTAATTAAAATGTTCATACCTTTGTCATTGTTTATTATAGAAGCATGATGCTTAGATGAAACCTTTCTCTATAGTTTTGGGAGTTGGCTCTATAACCTTGTTGAGTACCTATATAGAATACTAGATTGTGGATCTATCCAGGCTAGAAAAGAAACAAATCCATTTCCTATCTATGAGCTGTCCTGCTAATTGAAAAGTTAGAATACACATTTAAACAACATTTTTAGGGAGTCACATGTGAAGAGTTACAAAAGAATGTTACAGAGTGAGAACACCTTTAAATACTTCCAAAGAAGCAAGTTTAGACTCTCTGTCACATTTCTAGATATGGCTAATAATACTAAAAACAAAATAGACATATTCTCTAACAGACTGTTCAATGATTAGGAAAGCATGAAGCAAAAACTAGGGTGGTTCTTGTAAAGCTACAGCTATTTGTATAGTTTGCGAAATTCCTGCCTCCAGCCTGTATGAGAATAACAAGGTCTTTATAGTCATCAAGAACTCACTGGAATTTGTACATTCTTCAGGGTTTTGTGTTTTATTTTTATAAAGAGCACTGTAGCAATGTGCAGTATGCTGTATAAGGAGCAGAAGACCTACATTAGATGTGTCTTAAACAGTAAGGAAAACTTACTTAACAAGAAGTCTGGGTAGGGCAATTCCACCACTGGTAAATTTGTGGCTAAATTATAATTCTAAAAGTACAGTAATATGTACCATAGAAAATTGGTATAATAGAAGATGGGAAGTATTGTCTTTCCCCCAACATTTTTACATTTGGCTACTTTTATTTTTAATTTTTGAAATATTTCAAGCCCTGGATATACAGAAGATAACAACTGTTACAGATGTACAAAGGATAACAACTGTTACTAACTAGCTTTAGTAGATTATAACATTTTGCCAAATTTGCTTCAAGGTCCCTTGTTTAAAAAAGAAAATAAAGTTATACTTTTAAAGTACTACTCCCTCTAATCCTTATTCTTCCTTTTCCAAAGGTAAACACTATATTGAATTTGGTAGGTATCCTTCCTGTCTGTGTTTTTATTGTCTATAGTATATGTACAGATGTATCCATAAACAATGTCTAATGTGTTTGTGCTATATGTATGGTTTCATAGCTTGCTTTTTAAATAAATAGTATTTTGAAATTTATCTGATAAATGTAACTCTGGTTCACTCATTGTAAATGCTATTTGATATTTCATTGTATAAATATGTCACAATTTACATATTCCTCTCTCTACAGAAAAATTTTAACGTTTTTAGTTTTTGTTCATTTCAGTGTTGCCATGAACAAACATATTTGAACATCCCTTCTTGTGCACATATGTGAGAGTTTATATGTTGGATAAGTACTTAGAAGTAAAATTGTTGGGTCAGAAGGTATGTGCGATTTCAGCATGGCTAAATATTTCCAAATGGGTCTCCAAATTGATGGACCCAGGGCCGGGCATGGTGGCTCACACCTGTAATCCTAGCACTCTGGGAGGCCGAGGCAGGAAGATTCCCTGAGCTCAGGAGTTCGAGACCAGCCTGAGTAAGAGAAAGACCCCATCTCTACTAAAAATAGAAAAATTAGCCTGGCATTGTGGCATGACCCTGTAGTCGCCACTGCATTCTACCTGGGGTGAATGAGCGAGACTCTGTCTCACCAAAAAAAAAAAAAGTAGCCCCAGTTTATATTTCTATCAACTGCATATGGGAGTGCTTGTTTCCCCACTCTTGTCCTGCCCATGATATTAATTCAACTTAACATTTTTGCTGGTTTGGGACTGAAATGGTGCCTCATTTTATTTTATGTTTCCCATATACCAGTGAACCTGATCATCTTTTCATTTGTTTGTCGACCTTTTAGGTTTCCGCACTTCCATGAGTTGTTTCTATCATTTGCCTTCTTTTAAATTGAGGGTTTTTTTCCCTCATGAAAAACTAAATTTTTTTCTTTTTTAAGACAGAGTCTCACTCTGCTGTCCTCGGTAGAGTATAGTGGTGTCATCGAAGCTCACAGCAACCTCAAACTTTGGGGCTCAAGTGATCCTCTTTTCTCAGCCTCCCGAGTTGCTGGAACTATAGGCCAACGCCACAATGCACAGCTCGTTTTTTTAGTTTTAGTAGAGATGGTGTCTCTCTCTTGCTCAGGCTGGTCTCAAACTCCTGACCTCAAGCAATCCTCCTGTCTTGGCCTCCGAGAGTAATAGGGTTACAGGTGTGAGCCACCAGGCCCAGCCTGAAGTTTTTTTTTTTTTTGAGAGTTCTTGACATATTATGGATGCTATCCTTTGTTAGAAATGACCCTTGGAAATATCTTTTTGCAGTCTGTGTTTATATTTTAACTCTGTTTCCTGTATTTACCTCAAGGATAGAAATGTTCTTTTATACTTTCTAAACTGTTCAAAGATTTATATTTAGTATTTGATCAGGCAAATATCCTTTATGTAAATATACCCAAAAATCCTCAACAAAATACTAGCAAACCAAATTCAGCAGCACATTAAAAAGATCATTCATTGTGATCAAGTGGGATTCATCCCAGGGATGCAAAGATGATTCAACATATGAATATCAATAAACATGATACATCACATTAACAGAATCAGGACAAAAACCAAATTAGATGCTGAAAAATCATTCAATAAAATTCTATATCCCTTCATGATAAAACTTTCAACAAATTGGGTATAGAAGGAACATACCTCAAATCAATAAAGACTATGC